ATTAGAATTTATTTAAAATTTGATTAGAATTTGTTTATAATGTGATTAAAATTTGATTAGGATTTTTTTAAAGATTTTATTAAAAATTATCTAAGATTTAATTAAGATTTGATTAAGATTTGTCTAGGATTTGTTTATGATTTAATTAGGATTTATTTTAGATTTATTTTATTTCTTTTATAATTTATTTAAAAATTTAATTAGACTTGATCAATATTTGATTATATTTGTTAAACTTTAATTATAATTTATATAAGATTCTATTAGATTTTTTAATATTTGTTATTGTAATTTTCTTTTACCTTCCACAACTACATACCCAGTGTATTTTAAGCAAGACTTCACATAACATGAAAATGCCAAGAAGTTGTATAATTGAGAGAAGCAAATAAATCAAGTTTACAACTAAATTTGAAGAATCTTGCTACTACAAGCATGAAAGAAGCAAGGATAAGTATACCAGAGAAATTTGATAGAATAAGATAAAAGTTTTGAAGGTTTCTACAATAAGTGAAGCTTTATCTAAAATTATATCATTTTCAATACCTCAATGAATTTACTTAAGTTGAATTTATATGCATATTTCTATGTAAGATTTTTTTTTTGATTTAAACCTTTCATAGAAATGGATTCTTTATTCTATGATTTAAATTTATTTTTAGGAGTTTTTATTACCATATTTAGAAAAAATCATTAAAAAAAGATAGCACAGACCAAACTCATATCTTTACAATAAAAACCACATTTAGCCACCAGATATGCTGCTAAATTTCAAAACCTTGCTTGAGATATGGATTGAAATAATAAAGCCTTTATTAATTAATTTTACTATGAATTAAAAGATAATATCAAAGATTTATTGTTGATAATGTCAAAAGCAAGTTCATTAAAGTAATTTATTATTGAAGCCATTATATGTAATATTTTATTCTTTGAAAGAAACTAAGAACAAAGATTTGGTTGAAGAGATACAAGTCAAATCATGGCTATAGCTTTTAGGTTTTCAAAATTTTATTCATCAAGACTAGAATCTATGCCAATTGACATAATATGTTTTAGACTTCTTACTAAGTAAAAAAAGACTTGACGTCATGAAAAAAGATTATACTTATATTATAAAGAACCTAAACACAATACTTAATATTTTTTGAAGAAGCAACACAACCACAAAATGAAGAGCATGGTTGCTAAAGAAGATGATGTGTTAGAAAACTAGTTTCTCCAATTACAATAAGAATTGTGCAACTTAAATCTTGTGCAATACTTAATAAAGATCTTATTTTGTCTTTAAATCATTCACCTTATTTTATAGTAGAAATTTTTTTAGGACCAAAAAATCACAAAGTTTTAGCTTTGTTAGATTCAAGAGCCTTAACTACATTTATACACAAAGACTTTGTTAAAAAAACAAGAAATACCATTAATTAAAAAAATCAAATTTATGCACCTAAAAGTAATAGATGGTCATTTTTTGTCTTCCAAAGATGTCACCTATAAAATTATTCTTTTAGAAGTAGCAACTAATAGTCATAATAGCTTAGTAATATTTAATATAATTGAATCTCCTTCTAATTTAGTTATTTTAGGATATTTATGGCTAAAAAAGTATAATCCTTAAATAGATTAAATTTCTTATAATCTTGATTTTTTCCATAGTTTAGCTCAAGATTTTGCTAGTCAAATAAAAATCTATAAGCTCAATACGTTCAAATTCTTATTAATAGGTGCAATAGCTTTTATGCATATTACAAAAGCAAATGTCAATTTTTTTTCTATATATGCCACATCTATTTTTGATGGAAAAAAAAATTCAAGTGACATTTCAAGCCAATACTAAGATTATCAAGAAGTTTCTAAAAAAAACATGGATATCCTTTCAAAACATTGTTTATATGATTTTTTTATTGATCTTTAAGAAAGAGCTCAACCTTTATTTGAACCAATCTATAGCCTATCATAAAATGAGTTGATTGCACTTAAGAAGTATATTGACAAAAACATAGTAAGAATTTTATACACCACTCTAAATCATAAGTAGGGATTCCTATCTTATTTGTGAAGAAAAAAGATGGATCCTTGTAGATGTGTATAGACTATCAAAGACTCAACAAGATCACCATCAAGAATAGGTATCTCCTACCTTTGGTTTCAAGACTTCTTGACCTAGTCAATTAAACAAAGATCTATACCAAAATAGACCTACGAGGAGCATATAATTTGGTGTGCATTAAAAAAGAAGATGAATAAAAAACTGTATTTCAAATGAGGTATAGATATTTTAAATATAACATCATATCTTTTAGATTTACAAATACATCAACTGCTTTTTAATATCTAATGAATGAAAAATGTGCAATGTTTAATTTCAAAAAACATTGCACAATGAATGTGATAAAAATGTGCAATTTTTTTTGAGATTTACCAATTATTATTGGACTTTTGTTAAAAACTTTTTTTAAGATGCAATTCTTCTTATATGTCTAACATATACTTCTTTTGCATCCAATTTATTTCTATTTAGAGTGATTTTATTCTAAATTCAAATTATGTCTTTTAAAAAAAATCAAAATATATCTTTAATATATTTTTATTTTCTATGCTTATCTTTCAATTATATTTAATAAATCTTCTTGTCCAAGTAACAAATACTTTATTTGCCTAAGTTCTATAGGCATTGCTACAAAATTCACCACTAAAAATTAATAAATTATCTCACTTGAGTATTTAGTATAAAAAAAATGCACTCATTGTACTTAAAATCATAGTTTTTGTAAATTAGTAGTGTAATTGTTAGGAAAAAATAAGAAATGGATTGCTTAATAGCAAATATGCAACCAAGGACGGAATTTAATTAAAAAAAATCTCCAAAGAAGATGTTTTTAGTTAGCTAATATTAAATGAAGGCCCAAAGGAAGTAGTCTTAGTATTAAAAATATACATATATATATATATATATATATATACTAATAGTTCTTAAAACATATATATATATATATATATATATATACATACATATATATTATAAATAATAATGATAATAAAAAATATATATATCAAAAAAATTAGAAAAAAGAATAGAGAAGTAAAGAAGGAAGAAAGAAAAGAAAAAAAAAATACAGAAGAAAAGAAAAAGAACAAAAGAGAAAAATAAAAATAAAATGAAAATAAAAGATGATTAAAAAGGCAAGATGCTACCCTTGAATAGCAGCAGCTTCCTCGTGGATATGGAACCGGGCCGCCCCAAATCCTTCTTCTTCCTTTTCATTTCTTTTGTTTTTTGGTGTTGGAATCTGAGCTCCAATTGCTCCGGATTTCCTTCTTGAGCATGTTCCAAATGTGTTTATTTTCTGTACGTGTGTGTGTGGCGGTACTTCTTCTTCATTATTACGTCAAAATGTAGTAAAACAAAATAAAATAAATAAAATAAAAATATGAAACTTTGTTGTGATCAGAGCACAACATGGAGGTTTAGCTTCGATGCTCTGTGTCCTTTTATGGAAGTACTGCAGTGCAGTATTTTCCCCTTTTAAGAAAATCAATTGAATTATAAATATATAATGTAAAATAAAATCAATTGAATTATAAAAAATGATTTATTAAAACTTCTAAGTATTCAATGTGTAACAAGAAAAATCATTGCTTTTAAGTGGTTAATAAAATTAGATATGGTTTTGAGGGAACTTTACTTCAGAAAAAGACACGTCTAACTCTAATTTAAATTACTAAGTAGAATGGAATTTGACATCTTTCATTCCATTTAAAGAAGACGAGTTTATTGAAATAAAATAATACAACTAAAAAATATAATCAGCACTCATTTGGCTTATATGGCACAAAGACATTGTTGGTAATACTTAAAAAATATAGAACTTAGATATGACATAAGTAACAATTGTAAAATTTGCACCTTACATATAAAAGAGAGCATTTTTTATAGATGTTAAAGATGATTTTAGATTTTAAATTTTATAAATAAATGTATATATAAATATATATATTATTATTATTATTTATATAAATATAAATATAATATTATTATTATTATTATTATTATTTGTATGAGAATCATAATCTTTTTTTCAAGTTGTAGATTTCTTAAATAAACTTAGACACTTTACACCTATTTTATATTTTGACTAATCTAAGCTCTTTAAGATATTTATTATTTTTTTAAATATATATATATATATATATATATATGAAAAAAGAATCTCTTATTTGCTAATTATACTATCTTTGTAGAAATGAAAAGTACTAAAGCTTATTAATAAAATTAAAAAACATTCTTTACCAATCACAAACAACCACCAATTACTATAAATAAAAATTTAGTCAAATTTTCATTTAAACTAGCAATCACTGCACCAACAATCAATGGCTTATACTTCTTTGATGCCCATTTTGTATCAAAAAGTCAACTTTGGTGGTTATTGGAAGCCAAACATGCTTATAAGACTATGCACTAGCCAACTTTTCTGTTAATGTCTTATTCTTTTGTAAGATACATTATCATCTTCAATTCCACAAGTTCTTTTTTGTGTGAATTATCTCACTTCTATTATTATGTAAGATATATTATAAAGAATCTTTGAATTCTATCTTTAAACACTATTCTTGTATTATATCCTTTCTCTTCTTCAACAAAATATATAAAAAAGAGAATTAATAGATGAAATATTCTTAGTAAATTAGAAAAAAAAAAAGAAAAAAAAAGAGAGGATATAATACCACTATATAATCTACCCAAAGATTCTACCCAAAGATTCAGCTTGTTAAAAGGGAAGATAAAAATACAATTTATTGAAAATACTAATAAATGCACACTAAGTGTAAAAAATTGCTTCTAATCTTATTCTAACTTCAAAAGTAGTAACCAATACAACAAATTATTCAAAAGAAAAAAATAAAAATAAAAATGATCCGGATGAATTGTGGTTAGCAGGCAGGACAATGTTTTCTGAATCATCCACGATCTGAAAATCACCATGACATTCCGGAGAGACGCCCTTCCAAACATTGGCCCTCGTAGACCTAAATTGACGCCTCATATTCGAAGACATTTAGCAACAAGCGTAGCTGAAGAAGATCTACATGATTAGCTAAGGATTGCCGGAATTAGGCATTGATACACGTTGGAATTCTCATGGGCGACGATGTAATGTCATTCAGAGTTTCAGAAAGAGGATTGAGAATCTCTGTCCTTCCCTAAAGCATCAATTCAATCGGGGAAAGATGGAAGAACCTGTTGGTGTCAAGATCGATACTCTGCTTGATCATCTCAAAGAGTTTTCCAGGTGTTTGGGGTTTCTGGGTTTCTTCAGAATTTGCTTGCTCTGTGTCTGAAGTAGGAGTTTGGGGTTTTAGGGTTTTTGGTTTTTTAACTCGCGAATTTGATATGGGTTCATACGAATGATTTTGGAAGTAGTGGAGGTTGTTGGTGACCTGTGGTGCTTACTTGATTTCTGTTTCGAATGGCAGGTATTATACAGGGTATCCGCGCGAGGAACGGGTTTCACGAGTTCTGGAGTTCAAATCAGAGCGTCAGTTTGTTGAGCTTCTGCACCAGGGCGAGCCAGTGGCTGTTGCCTTTACACTCAAGTACTTTGAAATCTGTCACGGGCTCTCGGTGCTGCATTTTCTCTTGATTGTCTTATTATTTTGTGGGCTTTGGAATAATCGGTTGCTTCTGTTACGTTGAGCATATGCATTTCGTTTTGAACGTCTGTCCTTGAAACCAAACCTCTACTGTATTCTTTGCCAAACTTTCAAAACTTTGGACCCCTTATTTTTTCAGCCATACCGTTTTATATACAATAAAGAGATCGTTACCTATGAATTTTGTATTCAATGATCAGAGTGCACGTGTGTGTATGCGTTTAGATGTCCGTGGACACGGAGATTTGATCGTGTCCTGGAGGATGCAGCTGCTGAATGGTACCCACATATCAAGTTTGTTCGAGTAAGTGGGGTGACAAGCGGACTTACCTCAGATGCTCACTCTCGTTCTATCTGTATATTTCAATTTGTTAAAGCGATATTTTTGAGCATCAGAGGACCTCGAAATGGTTCTCCATGCACAACTATCTTAAAGGGCATTAGGTGTTTAAGTCGGTTTACCTGCAGGAATATTTTCAACCAATGGTTTGATTTACTATTTCTTGTTTCCTCTTGCAGGTAGATTGTCCTAAGTACCCAGGTTTTTGTATTGCAAGGCAACGGAAGGACTACCCCTTTGTTGAGATATTTCACAGCCCCAAACCGGTTTGGCCTCTCTTACATGCACCAGTGCTTAGAATTCGTTGATATGAATCATCTTCACGCTTTCAGTAGCAATGAGGAATCTTGGAGATCGAGTGAGGAGTTTCTGATTATATAGAAAATTTGCGAAAAAAATGAAAATCATTGTAGCGCTTTTAATTCTTTTCTGTAGAACATGTTTAAAGAGATTTGATTTGGCAGGCACACACTCAGGAAGGCGTAAAAGACCGTTCTATATCACGTTACAGTGTCAATGTTACTCCGGTTAGTCCTTCTCAACATATCAATTCTCCGATGCTATGGTGTTTAGTTTCCATTCTCTTCAACTTAAATGCAAGCTCTGTTCGCTTGTGGATTTTAAAGATTACAGAGGTAATGAGTGTTGCGAGTAGCCTTTCCAAGTATAGTCCATGAGCAAGTATGTTGATCTGTGCAAATCGTTAGCGTTTTTGGTCAGTGACACGTAGGTTCTTGCGGTTTGATGTTAACAGTACAATTACGACATGAGCGCATATGGATTTCGTGAATTTTTCAAGCGCCATCAGACAGCGTTTCAACCGCCAGCCGACAAATAGCCTTCATTACAGATACTTCTGAAGTTGTACATTCCCTAACGAAATGAGGAAAGCAGTTTTCGTAGAGCTCATTCAACTCAGCTTAATGTATGAACACAACTAAAAACCGATATTCCTTTCCAAGTCTTCATTGAGATCTCTTGAACATTTGAAATGCAAGTGGTGTTGTTGAGACGAAGTGAAAAAGAGTACCTTTGTCGTCGTCATTTGAATACTAATGTCTAGTTGGTAATTGATGGGACCTTAGACGTTGAAGGCTGAATGCAACCAACAGTTAGAATTCATGCGTTCCATTAGCTGCTTTCAGCACATTGTATGGAAATAAGATTAACGCAGCACAGGTTTTTGACACTGAAACTAGCCCAAAGTTTCAGATGTCATCTCAGGCCACCGAGTACTAATCGGGGTAAATATAGGTTTCACCCATATGTAACCAAGGGGTGCGTGATGAAAGCTTATTATGCAGATGTCATACAAGTAAAAGTCGGAGATGCCGAATTCTACGTATCTCTGCAGTTAGATGCAGCATAATCACTCAAAAGAATTTTAGAGATGTTGTCATTTAATCATGTATCCTTTAACTTACACTGAAACTTGAAGATAAAAAATAAGTGTATCGAATTTATAGGATTGGCAAAGAACTCTCGTAATTTGTAGTGACTAGTGCAAAGAACTCGTAATTTCCAGATTCAACATGAAGTTTATTCCACAGTTTGAAAAGTCCGTCTCAGACACAACTTTAATGCTACTTCACTGCATGGAAAATCGTACCATCCTAGAAATATAACCCCTACAAGCGCGAGCCTAAAGTTCACGAATTGTCATCAGTAGGTCCTGCAAGAGAGATTTGCTAAGAACGGTTATTGTAGAATTAATCATACCGAGCATCGCAGGTTACTGCAATGCACCAACAGTCTGTCAATACCAGTCATACAAGATCCATGCTCGAATGACAAAGCTGCGGTCCATGCTCTTCACAATAAAATCCAGCGACGCAAATTGGTCAGCACCCATGAGGAGAGTTTGCCTCGCGTTGATCATTTGGGTCAATCCTCAAGCTTAAGAGAAGGGCAAGGGCGAACCCAGTGCAGATCGCTACTTGTGGCATCAAAGTTCCCTGTTTCAACACCGCAGATACCGACATGAAAAGTATCTAGCCCAAACAGATACTTGTACCAAGTTGCATTTCTGCACATGAGTTTATCATTTCATGCAGAAATAGTTAAATCTATGCAGTGTGCCGGTGATTATGTGAAGTCGAGGTGTCTCTTCGATAGCTTCGACCTTCGTTTCTGATGCAGCATTCAGGTTGCTCTTCGACTTGAGAAACCTTAATCTGACTTGCGCATGCATCATGGTTTTCCACGTGGGTTTGCATAGTGTGACCCAGATTGATAAACAGAATGTAATTCAGTTATTTAACTTGCAGAGCTTCCCTTGTGCCATTAGAGACTATCTGGCCAGTGGAAGAATTAAGGCCCTTGATTCTAGTTTCACCTGCTATCCGCTTAATCCCTGGATTTCTATTCAGTGACTAGGTTGACGTACAATCAGAAGTGTTGATTGAGGGATTGCTGACTTTTTGTACACTTTCAAGTATTTTGGTCAGAGCTGTGTTCGTTGAATTCGTAATGCTTCGGAAACTAACCTCAAACAAGATATCATATTGAACTAACAAGTGTTAGAATTGATTTTGATTGTCACTGCATGTATGTGAGTTGTTTAAGCTGTACCCAATAATAACAAAAAGTGCAAACTAACATTACAACAGATATTATTTTATTTAATCTTGTAAAATGATTTTACAATTTTTTCATTTTACAATTACTCCTTTATTTTCAAGTAGTTGAGAATTTCTTTTTCAACTTCACAATGCGATTTGTTTTATTTGTATTCTAAAATAAAATTTCCACTGTATTAGTAAAAACTTGTACCATCAAGCAAAGAAATTTAAGTTAATTTTCTACTTTGAAAACATTACAGTTTTTGACCTACATGCAAAATCCAAATAGTATCTCATGAAAAGTCAAATAACGTTCATATTCCTGCTGATAAAAACAAGAAGAAAAATGGAAGTATCAAGAAGACTTGGTCATGTCACGGTTCACCTCCCACACAAAACTGATCCTCCGTTGCGAATGACAAAGATTTATCCACATCGCAGGGTATGAATCCACACCAGAACAAAAGACTGGCAAAAGGACTGAAGTCCCTGGAGAAGTTCGAAAACGTGAAGGCCGTGCAAAGAAATCTAAGGTGCAAGGGCCACCAGAGGAGGAGGAGCTGCAACATGGATGGATGCTTCGAGTTGCCGCATATTCCACGGCTGCTAAGCTGCGTGACTACACTCGGCATCCATGCCCACCACTCACCTGCTTGATGCGTTCCCTTCCTGCTTGATTCGAACTGGAGGTACTGGCGTTAAGCTCACGGGATCCACCACCTGAGAGTTGTGGGTTCCTGAAGAGTGTCACACAATAGTTTTGACCATCGTCAGTGACTGTCAACCCTAACTTCGTTGCCGTGAAGTACTGTTGCATAAAAAAGACATGGTCGTGAACGCCGGGCGGCATGTGGATTACATGTTGGTCCTAATGATGTGCGGGAAGTCCTGGAACTAGAGTTCGGACCGGGGCTATACAAACCCGCTGGATTGAGAGCGAGGATCAGTTTTCTCACGCTTGCGAATTTCAAGATACTGTTAAGATTCGAATCTCTCTACAGCGGTTTCTTTTGTGGCGATCTCGATCCCTCGCAGCCCCGACGTAAGAGTTGTGCCACTCGACTGTCGCAACAATGACGAGGAGCTCAATGCAGCTGCGACTCCTGGCCGCGTTGATGATGCTCGTGGGCCTCAGCGTCGTGGTGACGCAAACGCAGGCCCAGTGTCCCACCTCGGGCTTAGCTGCCTGCGAACCGGCGGCGAGAAGCGATGTCCAGCCCACGGACACTTGTTGCACGGAGCTGCAAGCGTACTTAGACACCAACACTCCGGAGGCATGTCTGTGCGAGGCCGCTGCTGCGCTGATCGGCGAGGATGTCCAGTACGCCATCCTCATCCCGGAGAAGTGCAACCTCGTGTACAAGGCTGACATCACCTGCAACGGTACCTCTCTAACTCCACACCTTGGTCCGCAACCTGTGTTTTTCCTCATCACCCTCATCATTCTGGTGACTGATCGTGCGGTTTAATGTGGTGCAACTTCTGTTGCGTGCAGGCATTGGGATCCCTGGCGGCTACTAAACTGCGTCAATCCAAGGACCAGATCTTAATGAGGGGCTAGCCTAGTTGCCCGACCACATCGCTAACACAAGCCTTCCAGCAACTGAAGCCGATACTGATTGCTGAGATGAGAGTGTTGAGAAAGGCTGGCATCACCTGCAACGGTACCTCTCTAACTCCACACCTTGGTCCGCAACCTGTGTTTTTCCTCATCACCCTCATCATTCTGGTGACTGATCATGCGGTTTAATGTGGTGCAACTTCTGTTGCGTGCAGGCATTGGGATCCCTGGCGGCTACTAAACTGCGTCAATCCAAGGACCAGATTTTAATGAGGGGCTAGCCTAGTTGCCCGACCACATCGCTAACACAAGCCTTCCAGCAACTGAAGCCGATACTGATTGCTGAGATGAGAGTGTTGAGAAAGGCTGGCATCACCTGCAACGGTACCTCTCTAACTCCACACCTTGGTCCGCAACCTGTGTTTTTCCTCATCACCCTCATCATTCTGGTGACTGATCGTGCGGTTTAATGTGGTGCAACTTCTGTTGCGTGCAGGCATTGGGATCCCTGGCGGCTACTAAACTGCGTCAATCCAAGGACCAGATTTTAATGAGGGGCTAGCCTAGTTGCCCGACCACATCGCTAACACAAGCCTTCCAGCAACTGAAGCCGATACTGATTGCTGAGATGAGAGTGTTGAGAAAGGCTGGCATCACCTGCAACGGTACCTCTCTAACTCCACACCTTGGTCCGCAACCTGTGTTTTTCCTCATCACCCTCATCATTCTGGTGACTGATCATGCGGTTTAATGTGGTGCAACTTCTGTTGCGTGCAGGCATTGGGATCCCTGGCGGCTACTAAACTGCGTCAATCCAAGGACCAGATCTTAATGAGGGGCTAGCCTAGTTGCCCGACCACATCGCTAACACAAGCCTTCCAGCAACTGAAGCCGATACTGATTGCTGAGATGAGAGTGTTGAGAAATATATGCATACGTATGTTTATATGTAGATAAAGTCTTTTCATATTCATATATATATATATATATATATATATATGATTCTGAATATGCGTAGAGGAATGGGATTCTCGGAAAAGCTGCCATCATCGGACCATCGTCCGAGGTTTTGTTGAGCTTGCCCGATCTAAATTAAGTTCCCGCGTGGGCCCTGATCGCCGAAATCAGTCATGTGCCAGATTCGTGTTGTTTGTTAATTGAATTCAGATGAGAGTTTGGATGTCTTGGTTTGTACTTAATCTCTGCATGCACGATAAATATTCTCCTGTTTTGTTTTGGTGGTGAATGTGGATTGAGTGGAAGCAACTTTGCTATGTCTTATCCAATTTTGTAGATGTTGTGTTTGAACATGCTCTAGAGGATGGGTTAATGAAGAGGAGAATTGCAGTAGTGGTCTCTAAGGTATTGTAGATGATGCAAGATTTGTAGCTGTTTGGACATCACTAAGCTCTTCTTTGTGTTGGTTTTCCTTTTCAATAAAGATAAATGGTCACAAGTTCAAACACATTGATAGCAAACCATTCGCTTTCATATTTTAAACCAATTTCAATTTTTACTTCTAAAAAAGTCTTATACTATCAATAATATTACGTTCATATTTTTTTTGTTCTTTTAAAGATTATATATATATATATATATATACATACATATAATTCTTAGATAAAATTTATTTTTTTTAATACTAAAAAAAAACTTAATAAAAAATATATATATAATTCAAAATGATATTATAAGTGAGAAGTTAAACACTTTTTATATTGAATATGAATAATTTTCAAAATTCTAATATAAATTTAAAAGTTTATAGTTGTTAATCTACATTGAAATTTTAAAACTATTAAAATAAATTAGGTTGATTTTTTAAAAATTAGAATTATAATAATGTACAAAATAAAATTGATTAATTTTTAAGAGAATCATAGGGTGTTATCTTAAGAGGATTTATGCCTTGAAGTTGGCTTTAAAAGGCCATGCTTTAAAAGCCTCATAAGATTTCTTGCTTGATGAAGAAAAAAATTCCTTTCAAAACCTTAGTCTTTGGATATAATATTAAATGAGAAGAGGTTATGAAATAAACCAAATCATTCAACTATCATAAGACCAAATAGTAGAGTTCATATGGCCTTAACAATTTACCCTCTAATCTTTGAGTCTTTACAAAGATAAAGAAATTTCTCATGTTTACTACATTGACACAACTTACATTTCTAGTTTGTAGCTTGTGAGATTGTTTTTTGTCTTTTTTTTTGTCTTTTTTTGTCTTTTTTTGTCTTCTTCTTTTTTTTTTTTTTACAAATATAGAATCTTTTTCAATAGATCTATTTTTTATTTTATTTTCTAAAAATAGGATTTTTTTTGAAGATTAGAGAAGAAGTTTTCATATATTTATTGATACTAGTGGAGAATTTTTAAATTTTTTTTTTTATCTTTCTTAAAAGTATTTGGTTGTATGTGTAGATATTATTTGTTTCCATTCTTTTCAATAATGGGGTATGATCTGATTAGTGTCTTTTATTGCTCTACTTTTTAGGTAGTCGTTGAGGTTGCTTTAAGTCTTTTTTTGTTTATTTGGGTTGCTATTAAAGTATCAAGCTCTTTTCTTTTAATATTATCAAATACAAGAGCTAATAGGTAGAAATTCTAGACGCCTTTATTTTTTCTAATTAAAAAACGTGATGCTTTAAAGTTTGATTTTTATTTATAAATATTATAAATTAAATTTTTTATTAGAGAAAAATCAATAATATATTTGAATTGGTATTTCAGAGTATTGATGCTTTTATAAAGTTCATGTTTAGTTCATTAAATATAATACTTTTATTCAATCATGTACCCAATGACTCCTTGGCTAATTTTTATAAGTAATTGTCCTTGCAAGATAACAATGTTCTCTATAAACTTGGACTTTATGACATTCAATCACCAAGGAGAATTATTTTAACTTGAAGTAAGAGAGGCTAAATTTTCATGAATGTTATGTTCTTCCAAGCATGAAAGTGTGCTCTACTTTAATTATTAGCATATAAAATCTACTTAGTAATAAAAATATTATTAAAATTTAAATCTATATAAACATAATTTTTAAATGATAATTTGTATGCTACTTCATAAAGCTAATGGTGTTACTTCAAGCACTTGTGTATAGATGATGATCAAATATTAGTACAAAATCCATTTAGCTTTGATCAAATCATATTTTGTAACAACCAATTTTTGTAATTATGCTTCATATATTTACAACCTTTATATTTGTTGTGTCTTGACCTTTTTTTGAGCTAATGCATATAATAATAATCTTAACATGTTAACATCGAATAAAGATAGAAGAATAATCTGACCATTATATAAGAGATGCTTGATACAATTGAAAGTCTAAAGTTGTTCTTATACCACAAAATATGTAATATAATGAGATAATATTTATATAATATTTAAATGTGAAAAGATGATAAATCACACATGTACATATAACATTACTTTTATAAGTTTATTATGATGTATTAGACCTTTTATTTTTAAGAGATAAGATAATGAATTGATAATTTAATGTCTTTCAAAAATAAAAGATCAAATACTAATGAATTGATAACTTAATTTACAATGGTTTGCATGGAAGGTTTTAAGGAAATAATCAATCAAACACCTTTAGTCTTATTAGATATAGCTGATGAATCTTGGATCAAATTCTAAGCTCATCATTTTCTTATTTTAAAGAAGCTATTTCAAACATACATATTTTTTCCAATAGTTACCTAGATATTATGAATAAATAAAAATAGGTTAATTTGATATTGTCTTATAGAGAAGCTTCTTAAAAGCTTTATAGACATGATTTCATTTTTATATGTATTTGTAGGCTTTTGGTAGGTTAGAAACTTAGCCAAAAAGTTAGCCACATGTTACATGTATTGGTAGCTTGTGGTGCAAGCTAATAATGTAGCTTACATATAAAAAAACTTATCTTAGAAGTTAAGACATGTATCTTGGAAATTAAATATGTATCAGAGATCTTATAGAATATAGCCATGTAGCTTCTAGTTAGATAATATATATCAAGGAAAGAATAAAGTCTTCTTCACTCTTGTCAATGCCTTTATAGTCTTCTTGTCTTTGGTATTAGCCATTTTGGTCTAATATTATACCACCATTTAATATTTTTTTAGTCTTATGGAGTATTATTAGAGTATATTGATTTTTTAGTTCTTTAAAATTTGTATCTTTGAAAATTTGGCAAGAGTCCTAACTCATTGTTCTTATATTTATTTTGAAGTGGGTGGATGATTTTATTTCCATTGTTGTGTTTTAAAGATTGTCGACTATCTACTTTTAAACTAATATTTAGTTTTTTAACACTGATTTTTTTTAATGAGAGTAGATTATCCTTCTTTGTAGAAATTTTTATTTTATATTAGAAATTATGGATTACACTCCTCCAATTTGACTTTTGGATTTATTTGAATTATCTATGGAAGAAAAAATTATAGATGCTATTCTTAGTAGAAGTAAAAATAGATTTATAACTAGTATGGATCTTTAGAAGCTTGTTAACACTCTTAAGGTTGAAATCTCACATATCTCTAATGTCAATCATTGAAATAATATTACTATGCTCATTAAAGAAATCAACAAAAAAGTTTAAAGTCTTTGCCAAAAAAACATGCAATTGAGAGAAGAAAATGTATTAAGTTTAGAACTTAATTTAAAGAGTCTTGCTACTACAATCATAAAATAAGCAAGAATAAGTATGCTAGAAAAATTTGTTGAAATAAGATCAAATTTTTTAGGATTTCTACAACAAGTTAAGCTCTATTTGAGGTTATATTTTTTTTCAATACTTTAATGGATTTATTCAAGTTAAATTCATAAGCATACTTTTATCTAGAGGTGCCCTTTTTTAATTTGAGACTTTATTAAAAAAAAGATTCACTACTATTCTATGACTTAAATTCATTGTTAAAAGTCTTTATGGCCACATTTGGAAAAAGTAATCAAAAAAGGATAGCAGAGACTTAACTCATATCTTTACTATAAGGATCACGTTTAGCCACTACATATGTTGATAAATTCCAATTTCTTGCTTGAAAAATGGATTGGAATAATAAAGCCCTTATTAATCAATTTCTGTATGAATTAAAAGATAACCTCAAAGATTTATTTTGATGATGCCAAAAGCAAACTCATTAAAATAATTTATTACTTAAACATTACATGCAATAATTGACTTTTTGAAGGATGCCAAGAATATAGATTTGGTTGAAGCGATACAAATCAAATCATGGCTACAGCTTTTAAATTTTTAGAAGTTTATTCATTAAGACTAGAACCTATACAAATTGACATGGTATATTTTAAATTTCTTACTGAGGAAGAAAAGGCTTGACATCATGAAGAAGGATTGTACCTATATTATAGAGAATCTAAAAATACTATTTAATATTGTTTGAAAAAATAACTCAACTACAAAATGAGGAGCATGGTTACCAAAGAGGATGATGTGTTGGAAAATTAATTTCTCTTACTACAATAAGAATCATACAGCTAAAATCTTATATAATACTTGGTAAAGGTTTATTTTATTTTATTTTATTTTTTATTTAGATGCTTCACCTTATTTTATAATAAATTTTTATTTAGGACCGAAAAATTTCAAAGTATTAGTCTTATTAGATTCAAGAGCCTTAACTTGTTTTATAAACAAAGAATTTGTCAAAAAATAAGAAATATCTTTGGTGAAAAAAATCAAACTTATAGATTTAAAGGTAACAAATGGTCATTTGTTGTCTTTTGGAGATATCATCCATAAAATTAATCCTTTAGATATAGAAATTAATGGTCATAATAGCTTAAAAATATATAATGTAATTAAATTTCTTTTTAATTTAATTATTTTAGAATAAGTATGGCTAAAAAAGTATAAGTATCAGATAGATTGGATTCCTCATAACCTTGATTTTTCATAGTTTATCCCATGATTTTGCTAGTTAAATAGAAATCCATAAAGTTAATATGTTCAAATCCTTATTGATAGGTATAAGAGCATTTGTGCATGGTCCAAAAGAAGTACTAACTTTTTTTTATATATTCAACACCTATTTTTGATAGAAAAAATATTTCAATTGATATTTTAAGCTAATACAATAATTATCAAGATATTTTTGATTAAAAAATATATATTATCTTTGAAAGCATTATCCATTTGATTGTTCTATTGATCTTCAAGAAAGAATTCAACTACCAT